GATCATGGGTTTGGCTCAAGGCCAAGAAAAGCTGAAGGCTTTACTCCTGAAGAAGGAGAAGAAGAAGAAGAAGAGAACTGTTCTTTTCAACACGGGCCGAAGGTTTGGCAACGCTCTGCAGAATGAAGAAGCTGGTTCTTCTGTAGGCAAAGGCAGTCCCCAGGGGGGAAAGGCTTCAAGTCCAGTAGTCTCTGACAACGAGACTGACTTTGATGAGGAACAGTATCCTCCTGCTGAAGACCGGTATAAGCAGTTGGAAGACAGACTGAATGCAATGGAGATCCAACAAGTGCCTGGGCTGGATTTCGGAGACTTGGGTTTATCTACTGGTGTGATTATCCCTAACAAGTTTAAGGCACCATCTTTCACCAAGTATGACGGGGCGTCTTGTCCCAAGCTACACCTCAGATCTTATGTGCGGAAGATTCAGCCGTACACTGTGGATAAGAATTTGTGGATCCACTTCTTCCAGGAGAGTCTTTCAGGGACTCACCTCGAATGGTTCTATCAGCTGGATGGGACCAAAGTTCGTAACTGGGAGGAGTTGGCTATTGCTTTTTACAAGCAGTATCAATATAATGCCGACCTTGCTCCTACACGTACCCAACTCCAGGGTATGTCGCTAGGATCAAGCGAAGGTTTTAAAGAGTATGCACAGAAGTGGAGGGATCTGGCTGGCAGGGTGCAGCCTCCGTTAACTGACCGTGAGCTGGTGGATATGTTCTTGGGGACCCTATCTGGGCCATTTTTCAATCATCTTATCGGTAATTCGTCTGCAGGGTTCACTGATCTTATTCTGACTGGAGAGAGGATAGAGGCCGGAATGAAGTCCGGTAAAATTCAGAAAGGGGCATCTTCAAGTTCTGAGAAGAAACCCTTTAAGAAGGAGGCCAGTGTTGTGTATGGGCCTAGAAGGCAAGAGAAACCTGAACGCCGCCAATCTGTCAATGCGGTGATGATTGCTAAGCCTGCTGCCGCTCCTCGGCAAACCAATCCACAAAGGGCTGAAAGACCCAGAAGAGATTTTACCCGTCTAAGTATGACCCTATCGCAAATCTTGTCGCAGTTGCTATCCACCAATTTGGTGACTGTTAGAGAGGCCCCGAAGGTTGTGAATACGGCTTCTCCCAAGTACAATCCAAATGCCCGCTGTGCTTATCACTCCGATAGCCCGGGGCATTCCACTGATGACTGCTGGGCCTTAAGGAATAAGGTGCAAGACCTTATTGACGCAAAAGAGATACAATTTGAAGCGCCTGAGAGGCCAAATATGGTGACTGCTCCTATGCCCCAGCATGGAGTGAATGCCGTTGATGAAGATGTGTATGTCGTTTCTGTGAATGATGTAGCTACTCCTCTGATGACTGTTAAGAGGAACCTACTGCTGGCAAGTTTATTTCCGGGTTGTAGTGAAGGTTGCCTTTTCTGTGCTGTTTCCCTTTCTGGTTGTCCTTTGCTGAAGTTGGGCATCCAAAGCCTAATAGACAGCAAAGAGATTCTGTTCAAGAAGACTGCTGTTCAGTTTGTCCCTGTGGAAGAAGTATTTGTTGTTACCATTTTCCAAAATCCAATCAAGGCTCTCCCAATTTAGATCAAAAATCAGAAATTGCCCTTCTACAGTCAAAAACCCTAATTTTGACCATTTTGCCCTTTTGATGATTTGATCAAATTTCTTGAGGAATTGTGATCCAAACTTGATCAAATGGTTCATATGAGTCTATAATGTTGATGTGGATCAAAAAATATGAGGTTTGACTGTAAATTGGCCACAGTTAACTTTTTTCCCAATACAGTTGATTTTTAGGTCAACTATCCAATTGACTGGGCAAAATGTGATTCAAGGCTTGAAACTTGGTATGAGAAATCTTAGGGGTCCAAGATGGTGTATGAAAGTCACATGAAGAATTGATGGTCCAAAAATCCTTGTGCAAACTCAAACCCTAATTTCAGATTATCAGTGCAAGGAGATGTCTTGAGCTGAGCAAACCCTAAATTAGTCTTGAGTCCAAGAAGTCTTGTGAGGAAAATTTTGATAAAATGAAAGGGCAAATTTTGGAGTACAACACATCCGAATTAAAATCATAAACTTTAATTAATTTGACTACTTTAGTGAATAATAAATTTCTATCTCAAATAACTCCAAATTAAATGGTACACTTTTCACTTCAAAATCAAATAATAGTTTGAAATTCATTAAATTTAATTGTAAAATTTAAAATGATAAACTTTGATGAATTTGAACACTTTGACGGTTAATAAATTCTTCTTTAATAAATAATTTCAAAATGTAACCGTAATGCTTTATTTAAAATTCAATAAATAAATACAGTTTTATATTACAATATGATCATGTATCGTAATTGAATTGTATAATTTGAAATTAAAAATTATAGTATATTTGACTACTTTAATAATTAACAAATTCAAACTTTAAAAAATTTCAAAATATCAATTTCAAATTTATCTTACCAGTAATCATCACCATTAGCTGATACGATTCCGAAACAAAACATATAACAAAAAGACATCACAATATTATATATGTAATTGATTACAAGTAAAAAATCACAATATCAGTAATCATGATATATACGTACGTCACTAAAAAAAATAAACCATACATACATATTAGAATATAACCAATGCACTGTTTATATTTTAACAATTATGGTGCACTTTTTAGGCTTAGTTGGTCAATAACTACGTTTCCTTGTCAATAAGAAACCACAGTACACGACCACAGACAAAATATAATATATATACGGTAAATATTACGAAAACAAAAAAAAAAATGCATTATTTAATTTAAACTATGATTCGAATCAATTAATCATTAACAGAAAATCATAATATCAGTAATTAGGTTTTGATACTAATTGTTAGCAAAATTTTATGTTTTAGATTTTGATATTATGATTTTCATGGTGTCTTAAATTCTATGAAAAAACAGTAAAAGTGTATCCAGATTCATGTCGATGATTCTTGTTCCGTTCTTGATTTTGAAATTGAATTGTTCTCTTCTCTCTTTCTTCTTTATTTTATTTGTATCTTTGATGATAAAGATATTTTTATGTATTTGTGAGAAATGAAAAATAATGAGAAAAATTGATGTTACTTTTCTAGAGATATCCTTTTATAGACACTCTATTCCAACCTTCACATTTCATCCTAGTAGTTATATCCCAATAGTCATGTAAAAAGAGAAGAGATATTTGAATTTTATTTTAAAATTCAAAATAAAAATCTCATTAATTTAATGATCTATCAACCAAAATAACCATCACATCAAACTATCTTTTATTTAAAATCAATTTTTTAATTAGATGGGTCATATTTAATAAATTAATAAAATTAATCCAAAATGTCTATCTTAGACATCTAAGAAGTAATCCATACAAACATGCATGCTCCTTAAGAAAGGTGAATAGCTATTTATGAACTAGCTAAGGTAAGTTAGCACTGATCTTGATTTTTTCTTTAAATCTTCTCGTAAAGAAATTTAAAATTTTGATTGGGAGTTATTTGAGAGGGAAATAGAGGGGAGAGCTTTGAAATATAGAAAGGATTAGGTGAAAAGAGTAAGAAGATTTTGGTTGAGAAGGTTTTGGAGTATTTGTATTTCTTCGAAACACCAAAAACTTTATAATTTGAAGGAATTCAAAATTTGAATTGAAAGAGGATATTGAAAGGTTTTGGAGGACTTACATAAATTTTTCAAATATATTTTATGTTATTATAGTATTCTGAAAATTAAAAATACAATAATAATAAATATTATTTTATAATATAAAATTATTTTTTAAAAAAATATCAAATATTTTCTTATATTTTTTTAAAAATTTGTTTTCGAAATTCTTCTCTTTTCCTCTACTCCAAACTCGCAAACAAAGTCTAAATGAATTATTCATCAAATATGAACCTTGTATAATTTCTTTTCAAGATGATTTTTCTTTTTCCTTTCACCAATATTGAGTTCGTTAAAATGCGCATATACTTATATCATGTTAACCTAAGAAATGTTGTGTGTTTTCTATTGTTGTTGCATTTTTATTGACTTTTGTGTTCCATTGAATTGTTGATCATCAATATTGAGCCTTGTATTTTTCTGGCCATGAAATTCTCAATTATTTTAATTGGTCTTTAAATTTATAGTCAACCCAATTATTGGCACAATCAGTAAAAAACTGTCAGAATTAACTGAATCTCGTAAACAAAATAAAAAAAATCTAATATTTTTTAATTGATTGAAAATGGGTTTAATATATCGTCATCAACAAAGAAAATTTTACCTCTTTTGTTTGTACTTTTCTAATAAAAATGTGTTTTTCCTATGTATATCTATAAAAATTACATCTACAATATACAAAATAAATTCATCTGTGCAGGAGCACGGGTCTCTGACTAGTTAACCTAAGAACACTACTAAAAAAAGACATTTGAGAAAAAGTTTTTACATCGGGTATCAAAATATATGATGTAAAATATACAATTAACAAACTTTTTACATCAGGTATTTATTTGCAATGATATAAAAAATATGAAAAAAAATATATTTCGCTACCTATTACATCGGGCAAACGCATCCACCGATGTAAAAAGTTTTCAGAAAAAAATACGGTGGCATTTTTGTAAATAAGAAACAAGGTAGTAGAAATATTAATAAAAAACATGCAACATATTACATTGGTTGACTAAAAACTGATGTAATATCTTCACAACAGATATTAATATAAAAAATAAATTAAAGAATAAATTAATTTTTTCGCAACTTATTACATCGGTGGAAGTTTAAACCGATGTAAAAAAGTCAGAAAAAAAGCTTGCATCGGGTATACGATGCACCGATGTAATAGGTGCAAAACCCTTACATCGGTTGTAAGGATCCACCGATGTAATAGGTTGTCCACTAAGCCAACCCTTACATCGGGTATTACGATGCACCGATGTAATAGGTGCCAAACCCTTATTTCTCAAACAGTAGAAAAATTACAACTCCATCGTCATTCTTCCACCACTCCATCGCGCTGCGCCCTGTTCTGAAAAACAAGAGAAGAGGAAATCTGCAAGCCCGCTCGATTCCGATTGCCAACCGTCTTCATCACCATCACCGCGACTGCCTTATAACACCGCCACCAACATCGCTTCCATGACAGAACCGTGTCACCCTCAACCTCCTCGCCGCAACTGACGGACCACCGCGAGTTCACTGCACGACACCTCCGTCGCCCTTAACCTCCTCGCCGCAACTGACGGACCACCACAACTGATGGTAAAACCCCGTTTCGGCCGCCGTTTCCGGTCTTCCTCTTCGACCGCCGTTTCCGGTCGTCCTCTTCGACCGCGGTGGTTTCCGTTCGTGTTTCCGCCGTTTCTGGTCGTCGTCTTCGACCGCGGTGGTTCTATTCGTTCGTGTTTCATCGTTTTCGACCGCCATTGATGATGATTTTTGTTGTGAATTTGCAGATTTGTTTGATGAACATAGATGATGCGGTTTGTTGAAATTTGATTACGTCTCCTTGCCGCCGTTTCACGTCGTTCACTCTGTTCACGCCGTTCACGACTTTTCACCGGCCAATTCACGCCCTTCCTCGCTCGCCGTTTCAACTGTAAGTCACATTCTTCACTTATTTGATCGATAATGTTATTGATGCAATGTTTGTTCTCTTGATTTAAGTCAATACCTTATGTTAACACTAGGTAGAAATTCATTTCAAGCGCTTTAACTTGAACAATTTTCTTTGAGAAACTTTATTTGTTGAGTTAAAATAGCAACAATATCTTTAAGAGAAGATAAGGTATTATGCATTGTGAAACCATGGCTGAAAATATTGGAAAACATACCCCATATTGTCCTAATTGTGCCACGAGATCAAATTATTATTAACCAATTTATTTATACATTATGCAACTTATAAAAATAGTACTCTTTTTGTCCTAAAAAAATATCTAGTATTCATTCGTTGATCGATTACTTTCAAGTTACAAAACTATTAATATATTGAACTAACGAATTAAAAAACACGAAAAAAAGAGGAGGGAGTGTAAATTGTGATTATAAAAGGTTTTTAGAAAGCACAAGTATTCTCCTTGAGCAATTATTTATCAAAACTGGGTTCACTATTATGCCAAAGTATAATAGTTAGCTTCATTGGCTATAACACATTACTTAGATAAATAACTTTTTCGGCATTAAGTATACATCTGCCAAATTTAATAACTTAGCTTCATTGGCTCTACAAATATTTATGGACATTCATATGAAACCATAGGGACATCTTATTCAAAACAAACTCTGTTGAAATTTGAGACCCACATGCCAAACTATAGACATATTAATGGACATTCAAATGAAACCATTTTTCATGTCATTTCTACTTTAATAAAGCCTACCGTTATCAAACAATTTCCTCTGTCATTTCTAATGAAACATTATTCTACTGTAATGAAAAAAGAAAGGACCAAAATAAATTATTTCAACATCACAATATTTATATGTTGCGTCCTTTTAGTATTATAATAATAATTTACAGCCAAATCCTACTGCCTTGATTCTAACTACAAATATCACAAAACTTGACATAATGATTTTAAAAATATAACTTGACAATTTGATGATGTTTGAAATAGTTCAAAATCACCCTTACATATTGCATATGAATGTTGTATGTTGCACTCCTCAATATTTCCATCAACTTGATAAGTAGCACCTTTTTCTCAATAAAAAGTTTTGTAGACTTGAGTTTCAAGTTTTGAAATCTTAATAGAGTTATCACCTTGCCATTGAAATTTGATTATATTTTGCTTTCTCCGCGAAGCAGCGCAACTTGCAATCTCGGAATCTCTGTGAAGTAGCGCAGCCGCGGGCACACCGTTCGTCAGACCTTCCTCCGTGTGAACATAGTTATGGATCGTAGTTGGATGAGAGCTAATCGATTAAGTGACGAGTACGAACATGGAGTGATGGAATTTCTACAGTTTGCTGAAAGTAATGCTGACAAAAGTCTTCCTACGCTTTTTCTCTGTCCATGTGTTCGTTGTGCAAATAAAGAACCAAAACGTAGTAAGAAAGAAATCATGGATCATCTAATTTGTGTAGGGATTTGTCAAAGTTATACAAAATGGATATGTCACGGTGAAGTAGTAGCAAAGTCAAACGTGTCTCAAATAGATGATGTTAGTGTAGAAATGGATGATCGTCTAGAAGACATGTTGCGTGATATTGGACAAGATTCATTTAAGAGGGCACATGCGTATGATACTTTATGCAATGACAAAGATAAACCATTGTACACGGGATGCAAAAAATTTACACGTCTGTCAGCCGTGTTAAAATTATTTAATCTGAAGGCAAAGAATGGGTGGACTGACAAAAGTTTTACCGAGTTGCTTGAATTGTTGACCGAAATGCTTCCAGAAGGTAATGTAATGCCAAGTCGTTATTACGAGGCGAAGAAAATATTGTGTCCGATGGGTTTGGAGTATGAAAAGATACATGCATGCCCTAATGATTGCATATTATACAGAAAAGAGTATGAAAAGTATAATCATTGTCCAAAATGCATGGCTTCACGCTACAAAAAGAAAGATGGTGAATCAATTGATGATGAGGTGGTCAAAAAGGGTCCTCCTGCGAAATTCGTATGGTACCTACCAATAATTTCAAGGTTCAAGAGATTATTCGCCAATGCAGATGACGCAAAGAATCTTAGATGGCATACAGAAGAAAGAAAATATGATGGACAAATTCGTCATGTAGCCGATTCTTTGCAATGGAAGAAAATAGATTCTTTGTTTCCAAATTTTGGCAAAGAGTCGAGAAACCTTAGACTTGGACTTGCTACTGATGGAATGAATCCGTTTGGTAATCTGAGTACTAACCATAGTTCTTGGCCTGTTCTCTTGATGATTTACAACCTATCTCCTAGGCTGTGCATGAAGCGTAAATATATTATGTTATCGATGATGATATCGGGCCCAAAACAACCAGGAAATGACATAGACGTTTATCTAAGTCCACTGATTGATGATTTAAGAGTGTTGTGGGAGGAAGGGGTGGATGTTTTTGATGCGTATTCTGGTGAACAGTTCAATATGCGTGCCATGTTGTTTTGCACCATCAACGATTTTCCGGCGTATGGTAATTTGTCTGGGTATAAAGTTAAAGGGCATAATGCGTGTCCTATATGTGAAAAAGATACTTGTTACCATCAGCTTGAAAAAGGAAAGAAGACCGTTTATCTCGGGCATCGAAAATTTCTAAAACGTTATCATCCATATCGTAGATTGTGGAAAGCTTTCAATGGGGAACAAGAGCATGATGTTGCTCCAAAGCCCTTGTATGGAGAGGAAGTTTATCGGCGACAACATGGACTTGATGTTGTCTTTGGAAAGTACCAAAAACGATCTACTGTGAAAAATGTATGGAAAAAGAGATCGATTTTCTTCGATCTTCCATATTGGTCTAGTCTTGATGTAAGACATTGTATTGATGTGATGCACGTGGAGAAAAATGTATGCGATAGTGTAATCGGAACGCTTCTCAACATTCAAGGCAAGACAAAAGATGGTATTAATGCTCGTCTGGATTTGGGTTTGATGGGTATACGAGAAGAGTTAACTCCACAAGATATAGGTAACAAGACATATTTGCCTCCTGCCTGCTACACTTTGTCTAAAAAAGAGAAAACAAGTTTTTGTGAGTGTTTACAAAGTATCAAAGTGCCGCATGGTTACTCATCAAATGTCAAGAGGCTTGTATCAGTTAAAGATTTTAAATTAGTTGGCTTAAAATCTCACGACTGTCATGTCTTAATGCAACAACTACTACCATTGGCTATTCGTGGGATATTGCCTAACAACGTAAGGAAGACTATAACTAGGTTGTGCTTATTTTTCAATGCAATTTGTTGTAAAACCATTGATCCACTAAAGTTAGACGATTTGGAAAATGAGGCTGCAATTATCTTGTGCCAATTAGAGATGTATTTTCCTCCTTCATTTTTTGACATTATGGTTCACTTGATTGTTGATCTAGTAAGGGAGATTAGATTATGTGGTCCAGTTTTTTTACGGTGGATGTATCCAATAGAGCGATACATGAAGATTCTAAAAGGGTATACAAAAAACCCACACCGTCCAGAAACATCGATTATTGAGAGGTACATTGCAGAAGAAGCAATTGAGTTTTGTTCTAACTATTTGTCAGGAGTGGATGTTGTAGGGGTTCCCAAGTCTCGTCATGATGGAAGATATGAGGGTGTGGGTACACAAGGTTTAAAAGTTAAGAGCTTAAGTATTGATGTGGTTGTTCAAGCGCATTTGTATATATTGAATAACATAGATGAAGTTCAACCTTACTTATCTGCTCACAAAAGCATCATAAAGAAAAAGTACCCCAAGATGAATGAAAGAGGGTTGTTAAAAGAGCATAATAAGAGTTTCTCTGAGTGGTTTAAAGAAAGAATTGCTAATGAAGATAGTGTTTCTAATACAATTAAGTGGTTGTCTTACGGGCCTAAATGTAACATAATAACTTGGAGTGGATATGATATTAATAAAACCTCTTTTTATACAAAGTCAAAGGATGACCGTAGTACCACGCAAAATAGTGGGGTAATGATTGTGGCCGAGTCCATGCACTTCTCTAGTGCTAAAGATAAAAACCCGGTTATGGCATCTACACCGTACTTTGGGGTGATTGAAGAGATTTGGGAAGTTAATTATGTTGTGTTTAAAGTTCCTGTATTTAAATGCAAATGGATTGATATCAACAATGGTGTCAGAATCGATGAATTTGGAGTTACACTGGTTGATCTTAGCAAGTTAGCTTATGCGAACGAACCATTCATCATGGCATCTCAAGCAAAACAAGTGTTTTATGTCACAGATCCTTCTAATAAAAAGTGGTCAGTGGTCTTACAAGGAAAGGTCCATGATAGTGATGAAAATCATGATGAGAATCTTGATATTTCTGAAACTCATCCTTTCTCAACAAATGTGACTACATTCATTGAAGAAAATGAAGGGGATGATGTGCATGCTATTCGCATAGACCATGAAGAAGGGATATGGGAGGACTAGTAAGATTTTTTGTATAAGTTAATTCCACGTTACTTTATTTTCTAATTGTTTTTATTTTGTGCTTAATTTTATTTCTAATTGTTTTTATTTTGTGCTTAATTTTATTTCTAAATGTTTTTATTTTGTGCTTAATTTTATTTCTAATTGTTTTTATTTTGTGTAAACAGATACATGGGTGATTCAAACGACAATCCTTCTTCATCTAGTAACCCCAATAAAAGAAGAGTTAGAGGTCCCACTTTAATGACACAAATTGACAAAGTTCATCAAACAGGTGAAAAGATAAAGGTCGAGTTTAATGCAAGAACCTATGAATGTATTGGTGTTGGTAAAAATGC